AAGCAGAAGAGGAGGAAGCGGTCGAAGCGGAGACCGAAACGAGTTCTAAGAAAAAGAAGAAGAAAAAGAAATAGACTTAATGTTAAAATGCATTCAATCAGACATTTGCTTATAATTATGTCATTAAAATTATTATATTTTATTGAGAAAAATAAATTTTTAAATTTCATTCAAACAAAATAATTGACTATTTTTATGAATGTCTTCTCTTTAGACAATAAAATAGACAAAATTTGGTTACATTTCACAGGTTTTTATTAAAAACAGCCCTAATTTTGTACCTAATGTACAACAACTCACACAGCGATGCATACGTTGACCACAATTAGGGTGTTTCTCAAAGAATAGATGAGCACATCTACACATTTAATAGGTCCTTAGGATTACCACTCTCCATAGACTTAGCATTACCCATAGACTTAACATTAGTCTATAGGATTAGCATTAGTTCCATAAAGATTTTCAGTTAATCTATAAGATTATAATTGCCATAAGATTAGCACTAGCCCATAGACTTATCATTACCTATGTTAAACCTATATCACTTAATCTATAATCCCATAGAAACCCCATAGAATTAACATTAGTCCCATATGATTAACATTACCCATAGGTTAACATTAGCCCATGTTAAAGTGTAGCCATAGTCTATGTAATCATGTGGATTTCAAATCAAAAACAGTTGCGATTGTGTAAATTTGATTACTTTTATTGTTATTTTTAAATTTATTACTTTATTACTATTTTTTGTTTTAAAACATAAAATTTTGTCCGTGATCAATGTAGCAAAATTCCTAAGCTTGGCCATAGACTTACGTTGTAATCCCATGTTAATGTAAATTTTTAAAATGTGAAAAATTAGAAACTATAATATAACATGTAATGTATAATGTTACCTAGCTCATCCAAAAGAGAATGATATAATCCGAACAGAGATGAGGTTTATATTTCAAAAAAACAACGTGCGAACGACCAACTATGACAACATTTCTAAATATAAATAAATATATACAGTATTTCATGAACTGGGTGAACTTGATAAATTTGGCCATTTAGTTCACACAAATCATTAGTTCACACAAATCATTATGAACTAAAAGTATGGTTAATACATAAATGTTGGTTTAATTTACTAATTTTAAGTGCTATAAGAGAAATTGTCATAATTTTCTGTTATTTTAATGTTTTATTGAATAAAAACAACTTATTAGCCGTTTTGGGCACAAAATTATTTAGTGCTGTCATCTATATTTAGCTATATGTTTGCTATTTTGTGTG